GAGGAGGGGTTTACTAGGGTTTGAACTTAGATCTCTCCAACTCCAGGAACAGTGATTTTAATGTTCTATGCATTTCGTGGACTTTCATTGGAATGTCCTTCTCTGAAAGCAGGGTATGCCATGCTATTGGTCATATAACAGGACCCCGGGAAAACAAGAGAACCAGGGGTCCAGCCTGAGGTATAACAGCAAATGGACCAAGGTCATTCTACTTAGGTGAATTTCTACCAACAGTCCATACCATCTCAGAAGCCCATTTGGGGGGATGGGAGAGCTCAGTGGTACAGCCCCTGCTCAGCATGCATTAGCCCCAGGTTCAATCTACAGCAGATGGGGTGAAAAGCAGACCTTTAAATAGCAGCACCTCCTTCTCCAGCTCAGCCAGGGAACATACAAAGACAGCTTTTACCTCCTCAGGGGGAATAGAAAGGGCTGGATTGTTTTGTCTTCCTAGAATACACGGTTCATAACACCAGCAGCTAACCCCCGCTGAGCACTCAGGATGTGGCAGGCACTATTGCATGACTTTATCCAGATGATCTTATCAAATACTCACAGCGAGGCTGAGAAAGAACTATTATTATCCCCATTTCTAGAGATGAGACACAGAAGTGCTCAATCACACTTGGCTATTTTTTTCAAATGCCACAAAGTAAGGTGATCTGAAAGAGACAGGACCACATACTGTGGCTTGTTGAGATTACCTGAGACCATCAGCCACTTGGTATGTGGTGATGGTTTCTTAAGCATTTCCTCCTTGTAGGTCAGGACAGTGAAGAGAGCAGTTCTCATCAAACATATGAGCAAAGACAGGTTCAGAGAAGCCCTCCTTGGGGACAAGTGGCCTTGGGAAGAATCAATCTTCAGGCCACCAGGGAACAAGCTCTGGAAATGATATTGTTTATGATATTGTTTATTGGGGTACTGTCCTCCAATTCCATGTAAACATGAGAATGTTAGAACCACCCAAAATATGGCCAACATTCCTTTGAAATGTTACTATTATCCAAATTTGCAAGGAACTAGGAAGCTCAGATTCACATAAGAATAGATACGGACAGTGACTATGGAGTCATCTTATACTCTGAATCTTGGCTGCAAGAACAGATAGTGAATATATTACAGGTCAGAAACACCCAGGTACCAGAGCTGAATTCAAGCCTCTTGCTCCTTCCGCCCCCCACCTTCTCATTATGATGACATTTACTTCCATTTCCAACTGCTTACAAAGAAATGATATGGAGATTCGGCTCCTGCTGCAGACTGGGATGTTGGTTTGGTCAGAGAGACATCTGGTGGTGTTGGAGACAAAGCGCACGAAGACAATCCTCACCTAAGCCAAGCACAGATTCACCTTTGTGGGGAGAAGACTTTCTCCACAGCAAGCACAATGGATGGCAGACTCTGGGGCCAGAACTGAGAGGGTTTGAGTGCATCAGCTGTCTCCAAGAGAGCCAGCTCAACCACCCTAATGCCTGGTTTCCCATTAGTGGAAATAGAAAGTGATGGCAATTGCTTTCAAAGTCATCTCCAGGACTGGAGGCACAGCCCTGAGGACAGAATCTGTAGCACACCAAAGCCTGATGGCATCTGTCCTTGCCTGACATTCCTGAGACCTGGATCAGCCCCCAGCTGGTCATTCCTGAGGCCCACTGAATCACCTCTGAGGTCAATGGCTACAATGCAGTCTAGAGGTTGAATAAGAAGCAGTAAGGCACCGGGTGCTGCTGGCTCACATCTGTAATCCTTGTTACTCAGGAGGCTGAGATCTGGGGATCTTGGGTCAAAGCCAGCCCTGGCAGGAAAGTTCATGAGTCTCTTGGCTCCAGTTAACCACCAGAAAACTAGAAGTGGAGCTGTGGCTCAAAGTGGTAGAGTACTAGCTTTGAGCAAAAGAGCTCAGGAACAGCCCCTAGACCCTGAGTTCAAGCTCTATAACTGACAAAAAAGAAAAAGAAAAAAAGTAATAAGGCTTTGCTTTCTCGGTATCTTGATGCAATCCACTCACAAAGGACACTCTTCCACAAAAACTATATTCACCAAGTTTTCCTCCTTAGGCCTGGGTGAATTATTATGCCAGCCTTTCCTGCCTACTTTCTATATTTTACATTGTTTGTTTGGCACTGGGACTCAAACCCAGAGCTTTATGCATACCAGACAAATGTTCTACCACTGAGCTCAGTCCATTTTGTTTATGTTAAGAGATGTAATATCGATTTCTATTTTGGAGAGAGAAAAATGTTGAATTTCCATCGATTCTTGTTTGCATTTAGTCCTTGGATGATGTTTCATTTCTGTGTTTTCATCATTTTGAGTAGAATAAAGGAGATGCTAGGGTTTCTCAGGATTACTTAACATTCTCACGTTCTATCCTGTAATTTCAGCACTTATTGTCTTCACACAAAGGAGAAGGGCAGACAAGTAGACATCTCCCTCTGAAATGAGCCCAAACAATGGTGCTTATGGCCCTACCCAAGTGAAAATGAAGAAAAAGGAGTGGCTTTTCCCTGCCAGCTCACAGTACTTTTCAGCACCAAATCAGCTTTCCCACACAACCAAGTAAAAAAGAGGGATAGAGAATGGGCAGAGGCCACTGCTTACCGCATTTCCTAAAGTACTTGCTCCCATGAAAGATGGTGACCAAAGGGAAGGTTGTGCACAAGTTAATTTTTATAACCCTGGGATTGTAGGTATGCTAGGGAATGTATGGAATGAAATATTAATGGGAGTTTGTTTTGGGGGGTGATATTAGGAATGGAACCCAGGGCCTTGAACATGCTAGGCGAGCACTTTACCACTGATCTAAACTTATAGCCCACTGAAATTACTTTTTCTTTCTTTTTATCTTTTTTTCTGTCGGTCATAGGGCTTGAACTTGGCCTGGGCGCTGTCCTCAGCTCTTCAGCTCAAGGCTAGTGCTCTACCACTTGAACCATAGCACTACTTCTGGTTTTCTAGTTGTATATTGGAGATAAAAGTCTCATGGAGTTTCTTACCTTAGCTGGCTTTGAACTGTGATCCTCAGATCTCAGCTTCCTGAGTAGTGAGGATTACAGGCATGAGCCACCAGCACCCAGACAAAATGACGTTTTTTTTTTTTGTCGGTTGTGGGGCTTGAACTCTGAGCCTGGGTGCTGTCCCTCAGCTCTTCAGCTCAAGGCGAGCGCTCTACCACTTGAGTTACAGCGCCACTTCCGGTTTTCTGGTGGTTTATTGGAGATAGTTGTCTCATGGTCTCTCCTGCCTGGGCTGGCTTTGAACCGCGATCCTCAGATCTCAGCCTCCTGAGTAGCTAGGATTACAGGCGTGAGCCATCAGCGCCCGGCTACAAAATGACTTTTTTAAAGCATCCCCTGACCCTTTGCAATCAAGTCATCTTTTATCTAATTAAATTATGTGATTGGCAGCTTTAGATTTCCTTAAAACATATGAAGGCCACTTTTATTAATTTTGGTTCCTTAATAAAATAGAAGAATTTAGGAATCTACTTTGTGAAATGTCAATTTCCAGATACCATTAAAAAATAACTAGAGTGATTATTAAAAAGGTAGTCATAATTCTTCATTGTCCTTTTTAGTGTGTGTATGTTGGTATTGGGGCTTGAACTTAGGGCATCTCTCTCTTTCTTTTGTTCAAAGCTGGCATTCTACTTTTACTTCTACCTTTACTTCTGATATCTTTGGTGGTTATTTGGAGATGAGAGTCTCTCAGTTTTGTCTGCCTGGGTTGATTTAGAACCCTAATCCTCAGATCTCAGGCTCCTGAGTAGCTAGGATTACAGCACCCAGCCTTCAGTAAGGTCTTACTGATTGAAAATATATCTAGGATGGACAGATGCTATAATTTAGACTGGTGATAAGGAATCCTGTCAGGAAAGTTTTGTCTTCAAAGAAGTTGAGTTCTTCCTAAGGTAGTATTCCCTCTCTGGAGTGAGAAAGGTAAATAACAATAGAATATTCTAACCCTGGACTGCAAGAAATCCTTCAGGGCATGTGAGGCCACAAAACACACCAGCACATAGGAGTATTCAAGGCTGGCCATCCAGCTCTGCCACCTTATTGAGCTCCAAGGTAATCACCTCTACGATTCAACAGAAAAATGCTGAGGTCAGGATGTAGATATTGGTGGTCAGGTTCTCAAAACCAGGTTAAGGACCATGTTGTCAGCATACTTCTGGAACCTACTGCATTTTTCCACTCTTACAAGTGTCCTTGTGTGGGTGACAAATTATGCTGCCATCCTTTCTAGGTGTTAGTTCACTTCTGGTCTCCTGGAAACCCTAAATGCCTACAAAACTTTCCTTGCAGATCCCCATTCCATATTTTCTTATTTACCTATCCTGCTCTTTAAGGTTCAAAGTGCCCCAAACACATTCCTCCTGATTACCTCTTTGGAGACAAATTTTCTAGAGAAGTTCATGAGGGCACAGGTGGGGTAATCATACTCTGGGTTGCCTTGGCACAGTGGGACTGCCTCTCGCTCTCCCAAATACCATTGAGGCTGGCCACCTGCAGCATTCAGGAGAGAACTGAGCCAGTGGTAGGTAGAGTCATGTCAACATGGTTCTGGCCATCTTCATGTCACAAGTTAAAATCCTCCTATCATATCCTCTAATGGCATTGGCTAAGCCAGCTCCTCGTAGAAGTCTTCATTGGAGACAGGCCACATGGGCTGGGCAGCTGCCCACACAGACACAGGCAGCCACAGGCAGACTTGTGGGTGAATAAAATGAAACTTTATTCTCCTAGTTCATGGAAAGTCTTTTGACATGGGAACTACTATCTGACCAAACACATCCCTGGCACTTTGCATATCTAAAAAGTTACTTTCTGTACAATCATATAAACATTTTCAGGTCCACATACAAACATGATGATATGGCCCAGGAGTTAAAAAAATTACAATTAGCTTCAGTACAAAATGATTAGCCTAGTTTTAAAACAGAATATAAACAGGGCAGAATGGGGACAGAGAATATGAAGGGGCTGGTGGAGAAAGGCAGGAAAACGGAAAACTGAACTTGGATTTTAGAAGCCAAAATCCAGCACAAACTACATTATATGTAAAAACTGAAGCAACTACCATGTAAATGAGAAAAGATATCATGCCCTGATGTATTCTAAGTTGATACAACTAATACAACACCTGGCAGACCTGCTCTTCCAAGAGTAAAAAAAACCTTCATGTAGTTAATCTTGTCAGGCAAATTGACACTTAAGGCAGCAGCAGAGCACAGAAAGATCTTCAAAGCAACAGACCTGGAATATGTATTGGCTATGTGATTCTGGGCACCAAACTCAGCCTCTCTGAGCCTTGCTTCTGAAATGTACACAATAGTAGTGGCCATGCTATTTTGTGGGGGGAGGGGAGAAAGGGGGAATTACAGCAAAGCTTGGCAAATAAGTGAACACAACAAATAACTAAAATTGTTTTTTTGTGTGAGGCCAGGGTTTTACCTTAGGGTGAAATGATTCTGATCTGCTCCAGGGGTTCTGTCGCTAGGTGACAGGGAGTTTATTATAGGCACACACCTCCCATGGGACACCTGCCTCAGGAGCACATGGGATGCTCTGGGTCGTGAGTTCTTGAGCCCCACGGGAGGCTGGATAAGGACTACTGGTCAGGCTCTGAGGCCTTACTCAGCTTTTCAGCAGCAGCATGTGTGACTGCAGTGGGTCTTGGCCATAAAGGACCTTCCTCAGCATGCAGAAGGATGTGGCAGCTGTCATCCCAGGTGCAGGCTAGGGAGCAGACTTGGGCTACAAGTGCAAAGCCAGAGAGCATTTAGAGACGTCCAAGGGGAGAGCTCTGCTCAGAGGATAGGCAGGCACATCATCCCCACTGTCAGGGATGCCAAGTATGCAGGACAGAAAAGGAAGAGATGATGCCAGCAGAAAACAGGTGCACTTGAGGTAAATTGTGGTCTCTGACCCACGCAGCTCATGGGTGTTGTCAAAATAAGCCCCATGCCGAGGCTGAGGCGAGGTTTCTGGAGAGGCCCAACTAGGTTCTGTTTCTTGCTTTGTTTCACAGGTGGCAATCCCAACAATATAAGCAGAGCTCTGAGAAGAGCACTGACTTCCTCTCCTCTTCTGTAGTCCCAGAGAGGTGTAGCCTTGCCCACACCAGCGGCATAGTATGGGCAGGGGGGTTCTAGGCAAGGCCACATACCACAGTAGGGTTAGCAGAACATCCATCAAGTGGAAGTTCCAAGGCTATGGTGTGCTTTATCCACCCCACTGCTGCTAGTAGGGGCTGTGCCAGCCCAGGGAGGGGTGCAACATCCCTCGGAAGGAGCCCGGCCCCTGGCTTTCAGATGCACTGCTCCTCATCCCCATTACTAAGGAGCAGAGACCACTTGTCCCCACTGTCCTCTGCTGCGGTGCCATGCCTAGATGGCCTGTCAGACGTCAGGGAAGACAGAGACACCTGGCTGATGTAGCTGACTTGGTCCCATGCCGTGGCTCTGGGGGAGTCCCGTCGCCGGTCATCCATGCCCACATGCACACTGACCTGGGATGCACTCAGGGGCTTCATGCGGCCATGGGCCTGCGCCTCGTACCTCTCCACATCAGGCTTTCTATAGCTGGAAGGCAAGAATCGAAGAGCATCTGAGCCCTACAAACATAAAGCTCATTCCCCCCACTCCTTATATACATCTAGTGAAAGCCTTCATGAAAGACAGCAACATGAAGAATTTATAGGTAAAGAACTTAAACCCAAGATGAGCACTGGTGGCTCAATATTCCATAATGTTCCATGATTATTATGTAGTCCTACCTACTCAGGAGGCTGAGATAAAAGGATCATAGTTTGAAGCCAACCTGTGCAGACAAGTCTGTGGAACTCTTATCTCCAACTAACCACCAAAAAGCAGAATTAGGTAGTAGAGAACTAATCTTGAGCAAAAAAAAAAAGCTAAGGGATAGCACCCAGGCTGTGTTCAAGCCTATGACTGGCACAAACCCTGACCCACCCCCCAAAAACCACCTCACTAAACTCCAATATTCAGGTAAATTTCACCTGATTCCAAAACCTCCTACATAGGCACCTTGCACATAGTGGGCTGCCATTTCTTAAGTGATTGCTCAATAAATAAATGAACATCTTTTTCCCTCTTTCATTGCAGTGCAGGCCCAAAAATAGAACCCAGGGCTTTAGCATGCTGAGTAGGCATTCTGTTGGTAAGCTATACATTCCTAGCCCCGGAACATCTTGTAGTGCGTGCGCGTGTGCGTGCGTGCATGCATGTGTATGTGTGTGTGTGTGTGCGCCAGTCCTGGGGCTTGAACTCAGTGCCTGGGTGTTGTCTCTGAGTATTTCTGTTTAAAGCTAGCACTCTGAACACTTGAGTCACAGGTCCACTTCCGGGTTTTTGATGGGTAATTGGAGATAAGATATGTCTCATGGACTTTCCTGACCTGGCTGGCTAAAAGCCAGGATCCTCAGATCTCAGCCTCCTGAGTAGCTAAGAACATAAGCATGATTAACTAGCACCCAGTTGACCATCTTATTTATTTAGCCAGTCCTGGGACACGGACTCAGGTCCTGAGCACTGTCCTTGAACTTCTTTGCTCAAGGCTATTGTTCAATCATTTAAGCCACATCACCACTTCTGGTCTTTTCCATTTATGTGGTACTGAGAAATCAAACTCAGGGTTTCATTCATGTGAGGCAAGCACTCTACCACAAAGCCACACCCCCAGCCTGAACATCTTTTTTAAAAAGAAAAAGTGGGGCTGGGATGTAGCTCAGTGGCAAAGCACTTGCCTAGCAAGTGCAATGTTCTGGATTCGATCCCCAGTATCAAAAAAGAAAAGACCAAAATAAAACACCAAGTTAAAATAAAGGAAAGTTAAAACATAACGATTCTGTATTTACAAGATACCCACATAAACAGTCCAATAAGTGATGACTGTGTAAGTGGCCAATGACTTGGTGTGGTACTGAAAATCAATACCTAAATCCACTTGGACTGCCTCTTTGGACTGCCTCTTTGCCTTGGATACATGATTGAGAATGGAGAGTGCACAGGTATCTCAGACACAAAGTAGAGTGAAAAGGCCCCGAAGAGTTCCTGTACAGGGTGAAAAGGCCTTCAGAGAACTCTGCCACTGTCCCACTCAGAACTCACCATTTGAGCTGCAGAGACGAGAGCACTACAGACACAGAGGAGGCTGCCATTGCTGCTGAGCCCATCCATGGCTGCAACACAATGCCAATGGGCATGAAGACTCCTGTCAAGGGGAGGAGATACACTCACCTGGCAGTCCAAGGAAAATCAGGACTCTACCTCAATTGCCCCTTGGAGCTGTCTCTCAGGGGATTCCCACATAGGCACTCAGAAAGGTTTCTACCCAGCAGCCTCTGGGATAAGACCATCCTAGGAAGCTGGCAGGGATCCATATTGCATCCCCTGATTCAGAGACTGGGAACCACCATGACAGGGAAGAGGGAGAGTAGCAGAGGTGCAAGAGCCTGTGTCCTGGAGACTCAGTTTCACAGGATATTTCCTGTGCTATGCTGTTGATGGCCACAGTCTTCATCCACACTGATTTTTTTCTGGCCTAGGGGGTTCTTAAAAAGGAAATGAGAGCCAGGTCCCAGACAGAACTAGGAAACTTGGGCTTAGTACAGCCAACAGTTAAGTAAGAGGTACAGACACAGGAAGGAGTGTACCTAAGTTGGCTGTTGGCACAAGAAGGATACCTATTTGACTCCCCAAGGTGAAGGCAGACTTGACCATCCTTGAGATGGGGTCATCAGTCAGACACAAAGAGGAACGAAGGTAAGAAAGTCATGTTTAAGAACTTTAGGTCTCAGCCAGGCATGAATGGCTCAAACTTGTAATCCTACCTACTTAGGAGACTGAGATCTAAGGATCACAGTTTGAAGTCAGTACAGGCAGGAAAGCCTGTGAGATTCATCTCTCATTAATCAGCAAAAAACTGGAAGTGGAGCTGTGGCTCAAGTGGTAGAGCACTGGCCTTGAGCAAAATAGGTAAGGAACAGCACCCAGACCCTGAGTTCAAACCACATTATTAGTACAAAAAACAAAAAGCAAACAACTTCAGGTCTCTTCAGCCCACACAGAAGCACTATCTTTCTTGGTTTCCTTATTTTTTGCTGGTATTAGATTTGGACTTAGGACCTCACACTTGTTCAACTTGCTTGCACATCTGGTGCTCTACTACTTGAGCTATGCCTCAAGTGACTTGAGCTGGCTTTTTTCTGGTTATTTTGGATATGGAATCTAGTGTATTTTCTGTCTGGGTTGGCTTTGAATGATTATCCTTTTGACCTCAGCCTCTTGAGTAGCTAAGATTAGAGGCATGAGTCACTAGTGCTTGGCGAGGATTTGTTCTTAAGACATGTTCTGAGATACAATCATTGTGTCTAGTATGTATATGTAATATTCCATAAAGCTACATGATAATTATTTTCAGATTGTTATATTTTAATAAATTATTCTGAAAACAGGAACATTCTAAATAAATGGCCAATCATCTTAACCAGCTTTCTAGAATGATCAAAGTAAACTAGGATTTAGGGTCCTCCAAGAATTTTCTCATTTGCTATTCTAGATGTATTTTAGATGTATAAACACCAACCTCTCCACGTGCATCTGACAAGCTACCCAGTGAGGTAGGCAACTAGTTCTGTGAGAATCTAGCAGAGGATCTGGTCACAGTGGAGCCAAAGCTCAGAGCAGGTGAGTCCTGTCTCACCTACCTGCGGCAATGGGTATCCCAACCATGTTATAAATCAGTGCCAGCACCAGATTGACCCGGATCCTCCGGACAGTCCTCTTGGAGAGATGGATACTTGCTACCACATCCAGGAGGTCATTCTGTAGGAGAGGAGCACACTGAGTAAGGGGCCCTCCATCTGCCCTCCCTACTCTCCTGATTGGATGCAGCAGAGCTCACTCTGATAAGGACGACGTCAGCTGCTTCGATGGCAACATCTGTGCCAGTCCCAATGGCAATGCCCACATCAGCCTGAGCCAGAGCTGGGGAATCATTCACTCCATCTCCCACCATGGCAACTTTCTTCCCTTTGTTCTGGAGCTCCTGGACCTTAGCCACCTTGTGAGAAGGTAACACCTCAGCAAAGACTTTGTTGATGCCAACCTAAAAGGAAGAAAATTAATACCTAAGGTGGGCAAAAGCAGAAACCTCACATTCCCTTATCCTTTTTCCTTCAGTCTCTAAGTCATCGGTCATGTTGTCAATTAGACTGGAGGTTGCAGGGCACAGGAATCCTGCTCTATTTCAATGTGGCTTAAATCCAGCCCCTCCGCCATCCCCACCTGTCCATAGAACAATCTTCTGTAGGCTTCCTCAGCTGCGTGTCCAGAACAGCAACCATTTGGTCATGATACTCTGCTACTTCAGCCCTTTGGTGGATGCTATCCACCTCCAAGTGCCTAAACTGTTAGGGTCCACCTTCCATGATCCTGTGAATCTGGCTTTTGTCTACTGGCCCACACTTAGCACTGCACTGTCCAGCAATCTATAGCCACTAGGAATCACTGTGCCATTCTACATCCCCAGTGGATTCTCAAGTGGCCTGTTCTTCCCTAGAAAAACTCAGTTTTCCTCCCAATCTTCCATCTCTACTCTCACTGGCTCTTCATCTCTTCCAACTCTGGCTCAAGCATACTCCATGCTTAGGTAAATTGTTCCTTGCCAACTGCACACTTCTGCAAAAGGCCTGAGCACTCAGAGCTGGGTCACTGATCCAACCTCCTCACAGGACTGTGCTCAAAGCAGGACCCTCTTTACTCCTCTGTGTAGCTCCAGTGGCTGACCCTGTGTTAGGTAATTGCTCAATGGATGAAGAAGCTGTAAGCTAGGAAAAGTGGAGAGAATACTTAGCAAGCTCATCATTAGCAAGATAAGATTAATGCACTGAGAGGTACTGTAGTTTCCTTTTGAGAAGCAATGAACTTTCACAAGCAGATAGCCATACACACTTGAAATGGGCACAGGGTGTGGTGAAAGTACCATTTTCAGAAATTCACACTATATTTATTGTTGTGGGTGGCTGAGGCTGTCCAGTAGCTACCTAGCAGTACTGTCTGTCCACATGCCCCCAACTCAGAACCAATGGACACAGGAGAATGGTGCAAAATTAAATCATTCACTCAAGTACATAAATGAGCCCTTAAAACTCCCTTATCAGGCTGGGCAGGTAGCTCAGTGGTTGAGTGCTTGCCTTGCAAGCACAAGGCCCTAGGTTCAATTCCTCAGCACCATGTAAGCTGAAAAAGCCAGAAGTGGTGCTGTGGCTCAAGTGGTAGAGCGCTAGCCTTGAGCTGAAGAACTAAGGAACAGTGCCCAGGCCCAGAGTTCAGGTCCCATGACCAAACAAAACAAAAGAAAACCAAAACAAAACCCTCCCTTATCATACAGTTGACTCAGCTTTAATTGTAGTTCTCAAGCCAGAATCTTTTTAGGAAATGCTTAGAGAATACTGGAATTGCTTTTTCCAGGGATGTAGAAAGGGGAAAGAGCAGAAGTCAAGTTTAGCATGAATACAGTAGTGCATTTTTCCTATTTCTGCTTTTGTTAGGTTAACGCAATTGGTAATTTCAAAAATAAGATGCCTATACCTGGGTGGCAATGGCTCTGGCTGTTTTCCGATTGTCTCCTGTGATGAGAACCACATCTACACCCATGTTTTTCAGGGTGTGCACAGCCAGGGCAGCCTCTGATTTGACAGCATCTGCAATGGCGATCATCCCACAGAGCACACCTGGAGCAAACAAACCACCCACAATCAACAACAGTGTGGGACTGAATGGCCCTCGAGCAAGCATGACATTAGAATTTATAATGGCTGTCATCATATAAGGTCACATACAAAAAACAAAACATATACTTTGGTATGTGACATAATATGGTTTAGACCTGCCTTTGCTTCCTTCCTTCCCTTTCTTTTTTCTCCTCCCTTTCTTTCTCTTTTCTTCCTTCCCTCCCTCCTTCCCTCCCTCCCTCCCTCCTTTCCTTCTTTCCTTCCTCCCTTCCTCCCTCCCTCCCTTCTTTCTTTCCTTCCATTTCTTCTGTCATCTTCCCATACATATATAGAAGTATATACATGACTGCCAAGAATATCAGAATGCTCATAGCTCCATGAGGGCAGGACTAGGAGTGATGGGTGATTTCATTTTTTTATACCCCTTGGAATTTTCCACAAGATATATACATACACTACTTTGCAAAGTTTGCTATTAAAATATGAGAAATATAACAAATTTAACAAATGTTAAGTAATAAGCATCCAACATAGATGTCCTTCCTCTTTCTTTTTTTCCCCTGAGAAGTCTTCAAACACAAAAACAGGAGAGCTCTGGGTAGAGGTGTGAATGGGAAGAGAGTAACAGTTTATAATGGCACAGAGCCTTTACTTGTGTAGATTCTGGCTTGAGAAGCTGAAGGGACTTGTTGGGGGTAGGGAGGGAGGCTTATAATGACTTAAGAGAAAGGAAAACCAGGGAATTGGAGAAGAATAACTTGGCTGGAGTATTCATAACATAGTGTTGTAAATCATTTCTTATCTGCATGTTGTTTTATTTCTATTAGTAGGACATCAAGTTACCAAGTGAAGGTTCTCATCTCTGAGGCATGCAACCCAGGATGTACTTGATGTTAAGACATGTGGGGTCAAAAGAAGCTCTGAGTCCACTGATGTGTGTGGTCAGATAGTGGACAGTGGCAGAGGCTTCATATTTAAAGGCATCCTGAAGTTGGGAAGCAGATCCCTATTTAGTCTATAGTGATGAATGAGGATGATTTGAACTGGCAACTTGAATAGAAGCAAAGATGATGCAGTTTAGAATTCCAAGAGCAGAAGACAAACACAAGAGTAGACATGGCTCTGGGTCAAGGTGGGGATGGTGAGAAAGGAAGGCCCCAGAAAAACAGAACAAAGAAAGATGGAAAAGGAAAAGGAGGCCTCTTTGCCTGAACTGTGTTCTTGTGGGTGTGGAAGGCTTGGGCAGGAAGCTACCGTCAATAGCCACCAGGATGGCGGTCTGTCCTTTCATCTCATGACCCGTCATGGCATCACTGATGTCACTTGAGATGGTTAAGCCATTGCGCCTCATCCATTCACGGTTTCCAATCAGCACAGAGAAGGTCTGGGGGCCTGCATCTATTCGAAAGAGACTAGTTAGTCCTAAATAGCCCAGCATTTTTGCAGCATTTAAAATCTACAACCTGGTAGGCCCTCTTGCAACACCACCCTTAAGGGACCACCAGGGAAAAGGTTCCATTAATGTGTAGAAGACTTGGGTATCAATCAAAATGGAGCATTAGTAATACATGGTATATGTGTAAAGATGAGGTAAACATACATACTAAACATCAAGTACTGTCCTTACCTGACTTTACTGTTATCTGCTGATTCTTTTTCTACATGGATTAGAGGTAGATAGGTTTCAGACCAGAACAAACAAAGTGGTTTCTAGATTCTTTACTGCTTGGTTTAAATGACATAAGGAAGACCAAAAAATAATCAAGATAAATCTTTTTCATCCTATGTTTTAAAATAATGCCTCCAGAAAGAGTGGATGAGTCTTCTATCTGGCACATTCTAATCATTGTGCCCCTAACTTAGACACTAACCAGATCCTAAGTGCTCTAATGAAATGGTCACCATAAGGTCTTAATTGCTAAAAAGTGGCAGGTGGAGCTGGACTCTGGTGGTTCACATCTATAATCTTAGCTCCTTAGGAGAGCTAAGGATCACAGTTTGAAGCCAATCTGGGGGACTCTTTTTTTTTTTTTTTTTCTTGGGTCCGGTCGTGGGGCTTGAACTCTGGGCCTGGACGCTGTCCCTCAGCTCTTCAACTCAAGGCGAGTGTTCTACCACTTGAGCTACAGCGCCACTTCCGGTTTCCTGGTGGTTTATTGGAGATAGGAGTCTCACGGTCTTTCCTGCCTGGGCTGGCTTTGAACCGTGATCCTCAGATCTCAGCCTCCTGAGTAGCTAGGATTACAGGCGTGAGCCACCAGCGCCCGGCTCAGTCTGGGGGACTCTTATCTCTAATTAAGCACCAAAATGCCAGAAGTGGAGCTGTGGCTAGTCTTAGGGAAAAAAAAAAAGAAAAAAAGGGAAGAAACAGCTCAGGGACAGTGGCCAGGCCCTGAATTTAAGCTCCAGGACAGGCACAAAAAAAAAATGAAAAAAAGAAAAAAAAGTGGCAGTTGTCTTCTAACAATATCCTCTAAATCATGATTTACCTATCAACATACTTAAGAAAAAAAAGAAACTAGGCAAGGGGGTTTTAGGCACTGAGTATTCCCTATCAGCTTGAGGTGACAGTTGACAATTTGTTCTTAGAGTAGGAAAAGCAGCTGACACTCTGAGCAGTGTCCCTTCTTGGTTTGGGCAGACCATTTCATTTGATTTTCTGACTTTGTGTCAACTCTGCAATTACTACACATCCCACTAGAGTTTATACATGGGAAAGAAACAGGAAGAACAAAAGTAGGCTTCATCTTGGGGCTGGGAAGGTGGCTCAGTGGTAGAGCCCTTGCCTTGCATGCATGAAGCCCTGGGTTCGATTCCTCAGCACCACATAAGCAAAAAGGAAAAAGCCGGAAGTGGTGCTGTGGCTCAAGTGGTAGAGCGCTAGCCTTGAG